AAAAAAAAAAGTGACAACAGTGAAAAAAAAAAAGAGAAAATAAGTAATGTTTTCGATGAATTGTGAGTTTCTTGTTCTGACTTGAGAAAATAAATGAAAAGTTTTTTTTATTGTAGAATCGTTTTTGTGGTATTTCGCGCGCGCCAATCTATGGCGTTCCATTTAAGTCAAAACAAACTTTTCAAATTTTCAAAACTTATAGTCTGAGCGTATGTGGAGAGATGTATGCGGGCCATGCGTAAACCTCACTTGATAGTGGATGAAATTTTGACTTCAAGATTCACTTAAAGATGAATCTTCTCCGATTCTGTCCATAGGTTTATTAGCTGGAATATTTATAGTGGCAACAGGCTATATTTGGCTAAGGAGAACAAGTGTTATATTCCTGGTGTTGGGTGTTGAATTTTCTGGTTTAAATGCTATTGGTTACGCTGTCGATCATTTGGACATTGCCCCACCCTTTGCATCAGCTCCTGGATTTATAACCCAGTAAGTAGACATGTATAAGAGGGACCTCAAGGAACCAACCACGCATGCTTTGTTTCGAAACTGAATCTGCACTTTTTCTGCCCTGTACATTCGACTGTTTACAGTGGTAGTCCATTCCGCAAGCTTAAAGGCTGTAATTGTTTTTCTCATTTAGATACAAGAAGATTGGAGGATAGTGTTCTGGAACACACTTGTTATGTTAACGCCGTAATTTTCTACACACAGCCTTGTTTAGGAGAACGCCAGCCATGGGCATCACCTACTACGCAGGAAGATATAGACAAAGAGGAATAAGACTCCTAGGACTCACACAGAATGATACAGTGCTACAGTAGAAACTACGTGGTAAGGTCCAATGGTTACATGTTCCAGTATCACGGTGGCAAGTTGGTTCTAGTCCTTGCTCTTTTGTTCCGTTTAATTAGTGCGAAGCAAAGAGCGAAGGAATACTTACCAACGTGTGGCTCATAGTGAGACGCAATAATTCTACTTCATCATCCGACCGAGGCTAGGAGTATGGCAGTTTGAAGGGCGTGATCAACAATTATGACTTTTTATACGATCAGTATCATCTTCGAAGTATGTCGACCTTAATTAAGAAAAAATATGAACATTTGGCTTCTATGAACAAACGTAAGATAAGTTTAAACTGAAGAATAAATCTATAATCATTCTACTACTTTGCAGTATTTCTTTACATAGCGGTCCACATGTTCTGATCTGGGAGAGAAGAGGGGAAAGCGTACTGACACTGCTGTGAAGAACCGTATTATCTTTAGCCGGGCTACCGGAATCTTTTGTCTCCAGGCTGCAAATGACGTGACTGTGATTGTTACCTCGCGGAAAAAAAGGATAACAGGCGGACAGTGATGTCCCAGATCTGTTCAGATAGTTAATCCATCCTTTAATTTTGCTTGAACACGATTGGTTTAAACGTGAGCGAATATGCACCAGCTAAAAAAGGAACTTATCAAACGTATTTGCTTCATTGGGTTTTATTCTGAATGTTACATTCTTTAGTCTCTGTTACGTAGAACCTGTCTCCTTCATCGGAGACAAATCTGTTAATAAATAGTATTTCGCAAGAGAAAATACCCATCACGTTACAATACGCTACGGCTAGTTAAAACTCTCTTAATATGGTTTTGCCGAGAACGGCAAAGAAGTGCATCAAAATGTTAAACGCACGTGCGGGGCGATTGTTTTTGCTCATTAAGCTTATTGTTTTCTGCCGTTCTCGTTGCCGTCGTCATTGCTAAAGCTCCCTAATACTTGTCAGCAAGCCGACCTTATCTTTGTTTTGTACGTGGGAAGGGAAGGGAGGGCGAAAGGGCAGATAGAAAATAGAAGATGCAGAGAACCCATTGATGTCGTAACGATTCTGTCCCAACGATTCTGTTCCGTTTTATTTATTTTTCATGTAATTCTCATTGTGCCTGATAACGATAACCGTACTAATAGCAGAGTTAATGTTCTATGCATTTTACACATGTCAGAACTGATTGCACAGATCCTATCTCTCCCCCTTCCCCCCGAACAGACAAAGAGTCTGCTTTAAGAACTGTTTTCAAACTGTGCATGTTCTTGTAACAGGCATCAGGGCCAGGGACTTTTCAGCTGCCCCTTTCCTCCGGGGACAACCGTGGAAAATGCACGGGATTGACTTAAGAACCGAATTACGAAGTAAACCAATATCTTGGTTTCTCGAGGTTGACAGCAACATCTCGGTAATACCAATATAATAACTATTATTATCACGAAAACTCTTGCGCAGTTTTGTATCCTTAATCAAGCGTCAGGTTTTCTGCTTTGCATAGTCTGTCCTGAGAATTTGACAGTCAACTATTGGGGTCAACGTACAGTTATTATTACGGTATATTCATCAGTATCGCTTGAGCATGGAGCACAAGAACGGCAACAAGATATCAAGATTGCGTCAACTCGAACGCAAAGCCAACCAAACAGTTTTAAATAATCCTATTTTCTTAAAAATGGGGTTCCGCTTTTAGCTATCCATACAAAAAAGTCCCTTGTCAATGATATTTTTACAGTGTCTAGCAATAAGATGTATATATCTTATTAGACGTTTTGTTGTGTATTATTGCTGAGTATTTTTACGAGTTGTGCCGTATTTAGTAAAAATACTCAGCGATACTACACAAATATTTATAGTGGCAACAGGCTATATTTGGCTAAGGAGAACAAGTGTTATATTCCTGGTGTTGGGTGTTGAATTTTCTGGTTTAAATGCTATTGGTTACGCTGTCGATCATTTGGACATTGCCCCACCCTTTGCATCAGCTCCTGGATTTATAACCCAGTAAGTAGACATGTATAAGAGGGACCTCAAGGAACCAACCACGCATGCTTTGTTTCGAAACTGAATCTGCACTTTTTCTGCCCTGTACATTCGACTGTTTACAGTGGTAGTCCATTCCGCAAGCTTAAAGGCTGTAATTGTTTTTCTCATTTAGATACAAGAAGATTGGAGGATAGTGTTCTGGAACACACTTGTTATGTTAACGCCGTAATTTTCTACACACAGCCTTGTTTAGGAGAACGCCAGCCATGGGCATCACCTACTACGCAGGAAGATATAGACAAAGAGGAATAAGACTCCTAGGACTCACACAGAATGATACAGTGCTACAGTAGAAACTACGTGGTAAGGTCCAATGGTTACATGTTCCAGTATCACGGTGGCAAGTTGGTTCTAGTCCTTGCTCTTTTGTTCCGTTTAATTAGTGCGAAGCAAAGAGCGAAGGAATACTTACCAACGTGTGGCTCATAGTGAGACGCAATAATTCTACTTCATCATCCGACGGAGGCTAGGAGTATGGCAGTTTGAAGGACGTGATCAACAATTATGACTTTTTACACGACTGAGTATTATCTTCGAAGTATGTCGACCTCAATTAAGAAAAGATATGACCATTTGGCTTCTATGAACAAACGTAAGATAAGTTTCAACTGAAGAATAAATCTATAACCATTCTACTACTTTGCAGTATTTCTTTACATAGCGGTCCACATGTTCTGATCAGGGAGAGAATAGGGGAAAGCGTACTGACACTGCTGTGAAGAACAGTATTTTTAGCCGGGCTACCGGAATCTTTCGTCTCAAGGCTGCAAATGACGTGACTATGATTGTTACCTCTCGAAAAAAGGATAACAGGCGGACAGTGATGTCCAAGATCCGTTCAGATAGTTAATCCATCATATAATTTTGCTTGAACACGATTGGTTTAAACAAGAGCGAATATGCACCAGCTAAGAAAGGAACTTATCAAACGTATTTGCTTCATTGCGTTTTATTCTGAATGTTACATTATTTAGTCTCTGTTACGTGAAACCTGTCTCCTTCATCGGTGATAAAACTGTTAATAAATAGTATTTCGCAGAGAAAATACCCTTCACGTTACAATACGCTACGGCTAGTTGAAACTCTGTTAATAATAATACTTGTCAGCAAGCCGACCAGATCTTTGTTTTCTACGTGGGGAGGGGAAGGGAGGGCGAAAGGGCAGATAGAAAATAGAAGATGCAGAGAACCCATTCATGTCGTAACGATTCTGTCTCAACGATTCGCTTCCGTTTTATTTATTAATTTTTTTTCATGTCATTCTCATTGTGCCTGATAACAATAACCGTAATAAAATAGCAGAGTTGTGTCCTATGCATTTTCCACATGTCAGAACTGATTGCACAGATCCTATCTCTCCCCCCTCCCCCCGAACACACAAAGAGTCTGCTTTAAGAACTATTTTCAAACTGTGCATGTTCTTGTAACAGGCATCAGGACCAGGGACTTTTCAGCTGCCCCTTTCCTCCGCGGACAATCGTGGAAAATGCACGGGATTGACTTAAGAACCGAATTACGAAGTAAACCAATATCTTGCTTTCTCGGGGTTGACAGCAACATCTCGGTAATACCAATATAACAACTATTATTATCACGAAAACTCTCGTACAGTTTTGTATCCTTAATCAAGAGTCAGGTTTTCTGCTTTGCATAGTCTGTCCTGAGAACGTGACAGTCAACTATTGGGGTCAACGTACAGTTATTATTACGGTATATTCATCAGTATCGCTTGAGCATGGAGCACAAGAACGGAAACAAGGTATCAAGATTGCGTTAAGTCGAACGCAAAGCCAACCAAACAGTTTTAAATATTCCTATTTTCTTAAAAATGGGGTTCCGCTTTTAGCTATCCACAGAGAAAAAAGTTCCTTGTCAGTGATATTTTTACAGTGTCTAGCAATAAGATATATATATCTTATTATTCGCATGGATACGACCCGTGCTGATACCTACTTTAGCACCTAAATAAAATAATGGTGTTTATTTAGTATCCTGTACCTTTGAAGGAATCGTTGAATTCCCATCCTCGCTACCTATAGCAAGTTCCGCGACACACTATGCTCCTACGCAGGGCAAGAAAACCCACGATAATTAACACGTAGAAAAACGGGCAAAGTGCATCCTCGACCAAAGCACTGGAGCTATACCGGGGTTTTAAGGTTCTAATGGACTCACGGGTGTACCTGGAAGGTAGGAGTCCCGATGCGTGCATAATTTCCCCTCCTTTTGTAAAACGATCTTTTCAGGTCAACAACATTCATATCTTCAGAATCACTTTTGGAAAACTGCCCAAATCCAAAGAATCGTCCTCGCATAATATGTTTTCCGTGGCTAGATACTCCACTTGTTCGTCATTCTCGTCGCTTGAATGCAGACACGCAAATACGCAAATACGCAGTATGAGCCATTTCACATAAGAGCGCGGAAATTCGTGACAGCGTTCCTATCCCTCTTCCCACCGCCTTTGAAAAATCCTACCTTTGCGCATCTAATTAGATTAACCCGTTCACTCCCAAGATATCATTGGCAATTCTCCTCACAGGCAGCCATACAAATAGTATGAAACTAGTTCGGAGAATTTGGTATTGGATCAATAAATAACTCCCTAAGGAGAAATTCTGGGGCCCGTTTTCCGAAAGTCCCATTAACTGAACAGGCCCGAAGCCATACTTTACAATCAAAATTTAGAGAATAGATTCGCAGGTTCTGGCACTCTAACCAGTACATTTTGTTCCTTTAGCTGATAGTTTTATTGCACAATTTGCAAATCTTCTGAAACCTCACATTGAATAACAACATATTCCTCCTATAGGAAACAGTAGCCACAAAAACAGAACAGCTTTACCGGCCCGTTAATTTCACTGTACCTTCGAGAAACGGGCCCCGAGTCAATGATGAAAGTTAAAGGTTTACAAGCTTCTAAATTCCAGATGATTACATAAAAAGAATACGAAAGGTGCCACGCTACACGAAGAATACTGGGAATGGAGGATGTCATCATCATTACAATGTCAAAATAAGAAATCCAATCCCATAACTGCCGTAGTTGCGCGCCTGCAACCTGTTTCCCGGACCTTTGATATCTATGAGCAAAAAAATCCCTTTTTACCAATTAAGGATCGTCGCAGGTTACATTTTTTCTGCTTCAAGCCTCCCGAAAATTCGACAAGATTTTTATTTCCCTTCGGGATAATCTTTTAACCCTTCACACTCCATAACTAGAACCCTTGTTACCGGAACCGAAGCAAATTTCTCCTCCCATCGGGTCATTAATCAATTTTGCGCTCCACGAACTGAATCTTTTATTTTACTTAATTAACGGCAATTGTGTTCCTGTAATAGCTAAGCATCCCGATGCGCGCATAATTTCCCCTCCCTTCGTAAAACGATCTTTTCAGGTCAACAACATTGAAATCTTCAGAATCACTTTTGGAAAACTGCCCAAATCCAAAGAATCGTCATCGCATAACCTTTTTTTTGCGTGGCTAGATACTCCACTTGTTCGTCATTCTCGCCGCTTGAATGCAAACGCGAAAACGCAGTATGAGCCATTTCACATAAGAGCGCGGAAATTTGTGACAGCGTCCCTATCCCTCTTCCCACCGCCTTTGAAAAATCCTACCTATGCGTATCTAATTAGATTAACCCGTTCACTGCCAAGATATCATTAGAAATTCTCTTCACAGGCTCATACAAACTAGTCTCGTACGAATAGTATGAGACTAGTTCAGAAAATTTGGGATTGGATCAATAAATAATTCCCTAGGGAGAAATTCTGGAGCCTGTTTTCCGAAAGTCCCATTAACTGAACAAGCCCGAAGCCATATTTTACAATCAAATTTTAAAGAATAGATTCGCAGGTTCTGGCACTCTAACCAGTACAGTTTGTTCCTTTAGCTGATAGTCTTATTGCACAATTTACAAAGCTTCTGAAACCCCACATTGAATGACAACATATGTGGCTTTTCCTCCCTATAGGAGACAGTAGCCACTAAAACAGAACAGCTTTACCGGCACGTTAATTTTACTGTATCTTCGAGACACGGGCCGCGAGTCAATGATGGAAGTTAAAAGTTTACAAGCTTTTAAATTCCAAATGATTACATAATCAAAGGCTCTGCGAGCCAACTCGTGAATTGGATAAGCCAATGTAATTTATGTGTCGTCAATAGAAAATGATGTTTGATTTCCATACTAGGGTATGAATCGTTCTAAGAAGTGTTGAACTGGTAAATGAACGTTTTGAGGAATATGATGTAAAATTAAATTTAGGCCTCATGCAATTAAAGACAAAAAATATGGTCTGAGTAGGAGTTAGTGTAGGACAATCACTGTCCCAGATTTTACTGTAAAGGTTTGTGGAAAGAAAGTACAAAAGGGTGCTGTTTTGTTTATCGAGAAAATACTGTTAAAATATTAAGCTCGGTATTTACTTGCGATGTAAGCATAGGGATAAGCATGTAAAAGCTTATGCGCGAGATGGGACGCTCGGACATAAGGATAAGCATATATGCATAAGATTATCAAAAGGTTGCATTCTTTTTATGCTTATGCTGTCTAGTGATGTCATACCGTAAATGGCCTTGTGGTACTGCCACAATCATAGTAACTTTCCCTGTTACGATGGAGTGGTTGGATCAAATTCGCAGCGTGAAAGTAAAGTTTCCGTTTCGCTTAACCGCCCGTTACCGCCCGAACCGCGCGATTGGCTCGCGCAAGAACGCTTTCCCTTCTACCTCCCCTACTAAGCAGAGTTTTGTCCCCCAAACTCCCTCTACAGCTTGGAGATCAATAAACAAGTCAGAATCCGTCGTTTGCGGATATATTTGATGGCTTTAAAAGGTACCAGAGGGGCATCATTCTGTGCATTCATACTAAAATATCAAATTTGAAAATATGGCGTCCGCGCGGCCGAACTTCAAAATTTTCAACTCGGATTTTTCGTTTCTTTGCGATTGAGTTAGACCTTGTGGAACTCAGAATATAAAGTAGCAATGCTATAGAATACTCTCCTTGGAAAATAAGGGCTATCAAGGTCTTAAAGGTGAAAGAATAAGCTCTCAAGTCAACGACAGTACGATTCTCTAAAGGACGTAAATTACAAACCGAACTTTCGGACTTCAAGCAGGGCTTAGCGACAATTTGATGATTCCATGGCCTGTGAAAATTATATTCTAGTAACAATGTGTTCAAAAAGTATAGCTTGACAGAAGATTTTGTGTTAAATCGTAGTTTTTCAGAATTTTTAACAAAACGCTACACAATTTGCTGGCCGTGAGGCCAAGTAAACAACGATCTAAGCATGATGAAATTTTACCGCGTGGGCTTTGTACACGTAAGAAGTATTACACGTTTGGCTATTATAACAGCAAATCAAGAACTTTTTGAATAAAACTGTCGTCCCGAAATATTTCTTGGCCATTTTCCTCTTGCTTCCTATTGACAGATTCCATGAAAGACCATGAGATCTCTTCGCTCACAGACAAATTTGCATTTATCTTCTGAAATATGACCCGCGTGCCTATTTGCACACATGCGAAAATATTAATATTTAGCGATTTTTATCTTTCATCTTCATTTTTGAGTAAAACTTAATACGCACCTATCGCTTAACTTTCTTTGTTTTCTTTTTTTCTTTTTCGGACACAATAATCATTTTCCTGCATATATACATTCAAAAATAGAAGCATTGACGCCATAAATGAAATATACATAGCAAGAGACAAAACTGTATTCGGAGATTGGGCAAACTTTAATTCACGGATGAAAAACGTTTAGTTTTATACTCTTTCAAGATTACCGTAGCTTCTTTTTCACCCCACCACTATTCTTAGCAACAAAGGTTGCCCTTTCGTTTGTTTTTTACTCGCCAAAAACTATCAAATGCATTTAAAAGCCTAAAATCGAAAAAAAGTTTACAGGAATCGACCAATCGAGCGAGCGAACGAGTGCCATTCCTCACATCATATCTACAACTCGTTCTTGCGCATGCGCGCAATTCACGAGTTAAAAAGAATACGAAAGGCGCCACGCTACACGAAGAACACTGGGAATGGAGGATGTCAACATCAGCACGGTGTCAAAATAAGAAATCCAATGCCATAACTACCGTAGTTGCGCGCCTGCAACCTGTTTCCCGGACCTCTGCTATCTATGAGCAAAGTATCCCTTTTTACTAATTAAGGATCATCGCAGGTTACAATTTTTTTGCTTCGAACCTCCCGAAAATTCGACAAGATTTTTATTTCCCTTTGGGATAATCTTTTAACCCTTCACACTCCATAACTAGAACCCTTGTTACTTGAACCGAAGCAAATTTCTCCTCCCATCGGGTCATTAATCAATTTTGCGCTCCACGAACTGAATCTTTTATTTTACTTAATTAATGGCAATTGTGTTCCTGTAATAGCTACGCACACTGTTTCATACTTACCCAGGCCAAAGCGATACCCATCGGAAAATCTAGTGGAAGACACACGCACTATTCGCAGCTTTTAGAAAGTGATCAGCAGTCCCCTTTAAAAATAAAATATTTTGATAAGGGGCTTTTAGTAATCGGCACAACTCAAACCATAAATGCATCTTGCGCGGCTTACAAATTTGTGAACTGAACAAAATGTAGTATAACATAGAAACTTGGAAAATATAAGTAAGTTGTCTATATTTTTCTGCGTTGTGCAGCTTACATAGGTTCAGTCTCTTTAAGGTTTTTACAAACAAACAAACAAACATACGAAACATCACGGTGTAGAGATGATGGCCAACAGAAATGACCTCCAAAAATGGACCATAGAATCATTGAAAGAAATGCCCCTTACTGGAAACAAAAAACGGACGCTGAATTGTTATAATGAAAACTTTAGCAAACGCTTAGTCAACATATGCGGCAAATTAAAATGGCGCGTGGCGTTAACATTGAAAGACTAATGTGTCTTACATGTAGCTAGCGGTGGATAATGACCTCGCTGCATAGCTACCCTCTCTCGGTGAATAGCTCTCAAATATCACGAGAATTACCAAAAACACTGATATAATAATTATTCATCACACTGTCATAGCTCCGCGAAATCGTTGCGATAAAAACAGAGCTGAAAAGAACCCTGATTAGGGAGAGATTAAGTAAGATATTCTTACCATTATCGGCGATAATGAAATCAGCGTGAGAGCTTCCAAATTGATGGATGCGATCAATGGCTTCCTCTGTAGTCCTGACTACTTCCACTGTACACTCTAACTCGCTGTATTCTTTCTTCATAGTCTTGGCCAGAGCCGGAGCCAGCGGTAAGTCTTGACCAACTTCGGTCCGGCGTGAACTATCACCTTAAAAGGAAATCACTTAGACAAAACAAATAAAATAAATACGAGAAATAAGAACAAAATTTGCAAATGGAGTCAGTTGGTGAGTTGGTGGTCTTAATAAGAAGGACGCACATTTTGTCCAGCATGAGTAATGAGCGAACTTCTGTAGGTTAGCGACGGACAAACAAAGTGTACTGATTGAAATAATAATAATAATAATAATAATAATAATAATAATAATAATAACAATAATAATAATAATAATAATAAAACAGCTTCGCGCTTCAATTTCACTTAAAGCTGCGTTTTCATAGTTTTGTCAAATTTCGTGATTTTGATGCTTAAAATGCAAGGAGCGATGAAAAATGGAAATGAATTCAATTGCGCAACTAACACAAAAATTCATCACCGTTGAAAAGTAACGCTCTAAAATTGCCTTAGAAGCGAACTTCTCTCGCGCATTCATTTTTCATCACCCAAAGCATAAAGAGCAATATGGAAAAAGCGCATTCTGATGTTATAGTGTAAAGGATAACGACTTACTCCTTTTTCCCTGAGAGCTTTCAGCATGTTCCAGAAATGGTGACCTAATAAGATCCCTGTGGACTAAAAGAGTCTCCATAGCATTCCAAGCTGCACGGTACTCACATTTGGAATCCAATTCTACAAAGGAAGAATAGAGTATACTGCAACCAAAATAGAGATGATCAATGCCGAAAAATCAAGTTTAACAGATGTACCGTACGAGCATGATCACCCACATCGAAATGTTTGTCTCGGCAATCATTAAGCCAAATCGGGTCAGCCATTGAAGAACGGTTAGGTTCAAAGATATTACCCATGAGATCTCGGTAAAATATTCGTTGATGACCAACATTTTCAGCTTTGCTGGGCCGAATACATTCTGCGCGTTTAAACATCTAGTTGAATAGCGAGAGTTATCAAATGGTTTTTGGGAGAAGAAGCCAATCAATCATCTCACTGGAGCCTCGAGGAATGATCAAATCTAGATAATTATCCAACTGATTAAGGTGATTTACCTCTTCTCGAGTACTGACCTGATATTAAGAATAACATTTTAACAGTCAGTATATAAAGACTACAGGACTGACACGGGTGTGATCGGCTCACAAAGTCCAATCACAGATGTGTGACACGGTTTATATGAGAAATGGTCGCCGGTGAGAATGGGGAAGGAGGTTTGGGAAGGGTACACGCCAAACCTTCCCAACTCAACGCTCTTCGTACCATCGCGCTTCATTTACTGGAAAAATTTCCACTTGAGTGTGAAAAGAAATTCGAAATTGTCTTCATCTGGGTTTAATTTACTGCGCCTTGTCATTGGTCCAGAAAACTCGTACCACTTCCTCGACCAATCAGATCCAAAACTAAATCCAGAGGCGAGATGGTCACTCAGCCGTTTGCTTTTTTTTTTCTTTGAGCCGTCATTGGCTCCTTGTGATTAATTGAGTTTAGTTTTTACGACACCCAATTGAAAAGTGGTCTGAAAGAACTTCTGGAACAGGGTACCCACTTGGCTTATTTTGGAAAGCAAAAGAGTTTCGAAGTTCATCCCTGGGTAATTACTGAGAGCATAAAAGACAAACTGAAACCTAATTAGTCCACATTCAGTGTAGGAAGTGAATTGCAAGGTAATGAATCTCTGAATCAAAGTCAATGGCTGTGAGCAAGTCAGTCAATGGTAGTCAATAGAAAGTTTAAATTGAGAGCAGAAAATTGATGTAAGAAAAGTTTATAAGGGCTCGTTTAATGTCTTAGTCCATCAGAAAAAGTTACTGCTGCCGGTTTACTATCTCGAAATTATTTGATCTCTCTACAAATGACAGTAAAAATCGTACACATTTACCGACGTCTGTTGAAGAGAAAAAAAGAACAGGGATGTTGGATTAGTGTCAGCTGGTCAGCCTAAGCACCGTCACAAAACTTACCAAACTAACCGCTTCAGGGGGGGACGTACATCTAAAAAGCCTCTGCAACAAGACTGTGAAGACATCTGTTGCTGTGATAAGCTTCTTTACCACCATTCAGAAGCAAACCGTTGCCTGTGCTGGTGGCTAAAGAGGCGACCTTGGATAAAAAAATTCAAGCTTAATAAAAGACAAATAGATGAACAAACAAAGCCAGAGGAAAAAAATCCCTTTCGTTTTCAATGGGTAAGGCTCAAAATCCCTAGGTTTTACAAAAGCAGGATTTCTATGTTCTCATTTTACATTAGATCAAGAAGCAAGTTAACAGGAACACACAAAAAAAGAAAAACAAAACAAACTAAAACAAAACGAACAGACGAACAGATACTTTTTATGTCTATACAGCAGGTAAGTCACCTTGTAAAATCTTACAGTATTTTATAAGGAAGAATACGAGAAACATTTAAACCTACTACAGCTGTACCTGCTCTAGAGCAGCTGGGCAAGATCCAAAAATCACAAGAAGCACTCCAATTGGAACAGTTTCTTGTTCCAGCTCTAAACCATAGGTGATTTTGGTTTGTTTTAGCACACGACCCAAGATGTTGTGCGAGGAATCCGCAATCTGTCTCAGTCCCTGAGCAAGGTTTTCAAGTTTGGACGGACGGTGTCAAAAGTAATCTGGCCATCATAAGGGCACTTAAGCGTCTCTCAAACCGAGCATAGTCCAGATCTTTAAAGTTAGCATCTAGAATTTGATCCTTGTGTTCGATAAGAAGGTTGGCTAATTTGTAAATGACTCTGGCCCGCTAGGCAAAACACGTAATACAAAAACAAAGGCGCATCATTTAAACTGCAGTACTGCACGTGACGTTTGAATGTTCAAATGATAGATGAGGCGCGAGAGGACTCAGCTTCAAGTCGTGCTTCAAACCTAGGCCGGGGCAAAAAAGAGAGGGAAGATTTTGGCAAAAACCGAACACTACCCCTTCAACCAAAGGGAATTTTGGGTCATTTTGGTCAAAAATCTCGTCGACAGCTATTCCGTGAATTTTTTTGCCTATAAGTCTGATAATTTGAAATGGCCCAAAGAAACCTGCTGAACAGACATTATTTGTTTGGCATTTCTCAGTGGAACGGAGGTAAGCGCGAGACAAGCGCGGAGTGCCAGTCGCGTGTGAGGGGAGAAACGTGTTACTTCACGCTCGCCTCGCGTTTGCCTCCGTTCGTCTGAACAGCACAAAAGGATTACGCCTGCTCTGAAGGCTAGACCTGAACATGGAATTAAATTAATAGCAAACAACTGTTTGGCCTTAAGCATTTTTCAATAGTCTACAACCGTACCTGGTCAGCGGTCAGTGCTTGCAGAGCTCTTCCCCCTTTGCGAGCTATGAAAAAAGCGAATTAATAAAAGAAACCGAAAAACACATTTACGCAGAAAAAGAGAAAAACAGAATAACAGCAAACAATTCTATAAAACTAGTATATCCCGAGAAGAAGGTGCAAATTTACAGTAACAGGATCAACCTGGACCACTTGGAATATCATCACGCGCGAGTTACCACAAATTTTCAGGAGGGAGGAGGGAATGGGGGAAGTTACTGAAAGGTTTAACCAGAAACTGTAATCACTAAAAACACTCGGTATCTAGTTCACGATGCACTGAATGAAAACGCTGATATGGCATTTTTACAAAAACTGCCCCCAATCTGGCATCTAAAATCAATAATTTCACAGAACCCTATGTGGACATCCCAATCTCCTCTTTAATTGTTTGATTTCAGGATCCTGTCCCTCCAGCGTTTCTTAATATTTAAGTTAAGGTCGAGATCAACTCTGTATCAGATAGCCATTAGAGTTTGAGAATTCTAAACATAAAAGTATCGCAATCAAGTCTCGATCTAATATAAAGCGCTCTCCGATTGGCCTGCTGCCTTAAGTTTCCAACCAATCACTATAAGGTAAACTACAACATGACGATGACATGGACTAAGGTACAATCTGACGTACCTGCCGCAGCCTGATTCTCTACAGATGGCCCTGGTTCTTCGACCATAATGAAGAATGCTCCAACTTTTCGGCTATTCAGAACTTGACGAATGACGTAATCACTTCCTGTACCATTGGCTATAACTACACTCGTAGCGCTCTTTCCATGGGTCC